TGTGTCTCCTCTGAGTGTCGGTATGCGTTTCTCTTTCCTCCTAGTTGTAGGACTTCCACTCAGCCAGCGTTCCTGTGGTTCTGGGTGATGTCCGTTCAGTCTTTTAGTTTCACTTTTGAAATGGTTGTTCAAGGCAGCAAACTCCGGCGTTAACCTATGCCGCCATCTTGGTTCCCCTGATCTATTAAAACGTTTCTTACATCCCCTTATATTGGCTGGGCTGCAAAAACATTTGTTGTGGGCCACATGCGGCAAGTGGGCCATGAGTTTGACATGCTTGTAGTAGATGTTTTGTGTGACCCAGATGTTTTGTGTGACCTAGACTCTCAGGTCTCCTGGGCTGGGAGTTCTAGGGCAGCCTCCTACTTGAGATCTATTAAAACGTTTCTTACATCCCCTTATATTGGCTGGGCTGCAAAAATATTTGTTGTGGGCCACATGCGGCAAGTGGGCCATGAGTTTGACATGCTTGTAGTAGATGTTTTGTGTGACCCAGATGTTTTGTGTGACCTAGACTCTCAGGTCTCCTGGGCTGGGAGTTCTAGGGCAGCCTCCTACTTGAGATATTTAGGTTCTCCCGATGTAGTTGGGTCTGGAATGTTATTTTCCTGTTCATGGATGCAGTCTCCTCTCAGGGTATCTGATTATGTGGCTCACTCCCTATGCCAACCGTTGTGGAGGCGCTGACTGAACAACACAAAATACAATATGACAAGACACGATACAGAAGGAACAGAACACAAATGTAGACAAGACATCTATAACCCCAATAAAGGGACCACCACAGAAAGGAGTTTGGAAATAGAAAAGAGAGAAAGAATGATAGCAAGGAGAAAAGAAAAGACTATGGGTTGAGAACACAACAAAACAAACAAATAAACCGAAAAACACCCAGAAAAAAGAGGGGTCAGAATCCATAGATGCAGAGCTTAAATAAAGAAAACAAGGTTGAGGAATTGGATGAATAGAGCAAGGACCTATTTAGAATAGAGAAGGGAGAAAAGAAATGAGAGGACAAGAAGAAAAAATTTAAAAATTTTTCTTTTTTCTCTCTTTTTGAAAAGGAGAATAGAGGAGAGAGTAGATAAGCCTATATTTAGGAAGTGAAACAAGTTAAAAATTAGGGAAGAAAAGAGCAAGAGAAGAGAAAATAAAGGAAAAAATTGATTAGTGAAAAGAAAGGAAAGAGAAGGGGAAATGGAGTAGGAGCAGGGAAGAGGAAATCAGATATACGAATAAACCAACAGACACTAGAATACTAAGACATCAATAAAGTAGATAAAGACTTCCCATTTTTAAAAGGGGTGGAAAAGAAAGGAAAGAGAAAAACTAAAATGGGGATAGGAGAAGAAACACAGGAGGAAAGAAAGAGAAATGAGGAAGAAAATGGTGCAAAAAAAGTAAAATATAAAATAAGATAAAATGAAAAATAAAAAAATTTTAATAATAAAAATTTAAAAATAAGAAAGTGAGTGTCATTTGCTTTGCCGAGTTGTAACGCCCCGCGGGAGCTGGTGTAGGACCCCACTCTTCCGTTCTGTCTGCTAATTCTGGGCTCCCTGTTGGGTACTTAGGTGCTGGCCTCTGTCAGTCACTTCCTTTTGGCCTTTAGCGCCCTGTTGAAGCTCCAAGCGATCCAGGGGTCCTCTGCTTATGTCTGTCCCCCAGGCCTTGCTGAGAGCAGGTGAGGCCAATCTGCCCTCTGCCTGTCTGCCAGCTGTCAGTCTTAGTCACTCAGGTGTCTGTTTCTGACAGGGCTTCAGGCAGGGTTGGTGCTGTTTCACTTTCAGGGAGTAAGATGGGTGTTTTTTCCTGACCCACAGCTACTCCTCCATGAGTGGCCCAAAATATTACTCTGGCCTTAGTTGGTCAGAGATCCTTGTATGGAGACCAATGGGGCTGGCTGGCAACCTGGAGTTTTTATCAGTCCGGTTCCTGGAATAGCAGGGCATTCAGCCCCTCTCCCATCCAGTCACTGAGGGCTCTTTGGGGCTATTCAGAGCCTTTGTTTCCTTTGCTCAAAATACAAGCAGGGTGTGGCAGGCTGTGTCACCTGCCTTGAGGCTGCTGGGAGCGGCTAGCTCTTCTGGGGAGAAATGGCCACTTCGGTTTGGAAGCTTGAGAATGTCCCAATGCAGGATTCTTGGCCACGTCTCCCCGCCCTACTTCCTGCGCCAGCCTCTCCTCAGTCATCTCAAGTCTGTGCCTTTGCCGCTGTCCCTGTGCTGAAGCCACGGGGGCATGTCTGCAATCGAAAAGTCCTGTGTTCGGGGTTTAGCGAATAAAAGCAAGGACAAAACAACCATGAGACTGTAAATTTCTCTCTCCCCAGCATCTCACTGCTCGGGCTGCCTTTCGGACACCATTCGAGGGGCAGCCTTTTGCAGCTATGGTCTTAGGTACAGCTCCCCCAGCCACCAGCAATCCTGTGGCTTTTCCTTTCCACGGTTGGATGTTATGCCTGTGGCCAAGGGATGTGGCTTTGGTGCACTGCAGCTAGCTTCCTCCTCACCCTCTCGGCCTGCTGGCCGGCTGTCCCTCTCTAGCCCAGATCCCCGTTCCTACCATTCTTCGGGTGTCCTCTGCCCGTCCTTGTAAATTGTCTTCTCCGCTGTGTCTAATTTGTTAATTCCAGGTGGCTGTTCTCCGATTTAGTTGTTTTACGAGTCTGGCTCCAGGACGAGGTAGCCGACACAACTGCCTATTTGGGACGCCATTTTCTCTCCTCCTCTCTAAAAACCACCATCCCATTTCAGAGATAAGGAAACTGAGGCCTGTGGAGAGCCATGGCAGATGCAGCATTCAGGGATCCTCAGACCTCCCAGCTCAGCCCTGACCCCTCGTCCTGCCTTTCTCCACAGGCTCTGAGTCCAAGCCATGTGTCCAGCCTTTTGACCCTGGGGCTGCAGCCTTGACCACCAACAGCAGCAGTGGATCCTGGAGACCTGAGCACCTGGAGTTCTTCTCCACCATGGGGGATGAGCAGGCAGGTGTCTGACCACTGAGACAGGCAGAAGCAAAGGCACCAGGACCAGCAAGTACACTTCATTTAGCACCCGCGTGTCACCAGGCACTTTGTGTGCATTATTATCTCAGGGGACCTCATTACACCTTGGCAAATTAGTTATTATCCCATGTTACAGATGGCAAAACTGGAATCATTTCTGGAACAAGAGGGAAAGGGAAGGATGGGAGGGAGGAAAGGTGGACAGAGAGATGAATGGGTGGATGGACAGATGGACAATGTATGGAAGGAAGAAAGGAAGGAAGGAAGGAAAAAAGAAAGGAGGGAGGGAGAGGGGAGGGGAGGGGAAGAAGAAAGAAAGAAAGAAAGAAAGAAAGAAAGAAAGAAAGAAAGAAAGGAAGGAAGGGATGGGGAGGGGAGGGAAGGAAGGAAGAAAAGAAGGACAGAGGGATGGATGATGGATGGACAGATGGACAATGTATGGATGGATGAAAGGAAGGAAGGAAAGAAAGAAGGAAGGGATGAAGGGGGAGGGAAGGGAAGGAAGTGGGGGAAGGAAGGAAGGAAGGACAGATAGACATGGTATGTATGGATGGATGGATGGATGGAAGGGTGATTAGGTGGGTGAGTGGGTATGCAGAAGGATGGATGTAAAGAGAAGAAAAAGCTCACGTGGGAGCTCCGAGCTAGAGCAGCCCTGCAGAGTGGTCTCAAGCCGGGCTGAGATGGCCAAGTTACTATAATCACACATCAGTCAGTTGTAGCCTGTGGGCTTCTCAGGAAAGGGTGTGATTTCCCAGAGGCTGACAGCCGGCAGCCATCTACTGACAGTCTCCACAACATCTGGGGCAGCATGTCCTCCCTGAAGGGGGATCTGGGTGGCATTTTACACTGCCCACTACTCTAAGGAAGGGCATTCTATGTATCCACCTCCCTCATCTTGTCTAATAAAAGAGAAACATGCAAATTGACCGTACCTCTGCTACACCCACAAGCCACACCCACCAGCCAATCAGGAGCAAATATGCAAATTAACCCAACTAAGATGGCCATGGAGCTGGAGCGAGCAGGAGGTTTGGGTTGCCCACAGCAATGGAGGAAGCCAAGCTTCCCACCTGCCCTGCCGGCCCTGAGCTCCGCTCAAGGCTACAAAGTTTCAATTATAGAAGATAAATAAATCCCAGATACCTACTTCCAGCCTGGGAGTGTGGCCAGCCTGAAAACAGCCATCAGCCCCTCACCCAGGCTGGCCAAACACCCCAGTGGGGACCCCCACCCTGATCCGGGACACCCCTCAGGGCAAACCAGCCAACCCCACCCACACACCAGGCCTTTATCCTATATAATAAAAGGGTAATATGCATATTGACCCTAAGACCAGAATGACCACTGGACCAATCACTATGAGGCACACTGACCACCTCTTGGTTCATTTCCCTGGCCAGGCCCAATCCCCCGGGGAGCGGGCTTAAGCCAGCAGGTGGACATCCCCTGAGGGGTCCCAGACTGTGAGAGAGCATAGGCTGGGCTGAGGGATGCCCTCAAGTGCACAAACTTTTGTGCACCGGGCCTCTAGTCCTATATAATAAAAGCCTAATATGCAAATTGTCCCCTCGGCCAAGAGTTTGACCGAACGTTCCACCAGGGGGTGGGGCCAACCTCCTGCATCCCCTCCCCCACCACCAGTCCCGCCCCAATCAGCCCCCATCCAGACCGGCTGGCCGGACCCCACCCATGCACGAATTCGTGCACTGGGCCTCTAGTTTTATGTAAAAGAACACTAGGGCCAAGCAGGGAACTCTTTGGCCCAAGAGTCAGGGATGATATAGGATAAACAAAAGTAGGACAGAGATGCAAATTGAGTTATGGCTCCTTCCAGGATTCCGGACCTCTTGAGTAGGAGCCATGGGCTGCAGACAGTCAGGCCAACAAGATGGTGAGGGAGAAACTGTGTGCCTGGGGAAGCAGTGAGCACTCAGCTTTGCAGGGAGGCTCTGCACCCAACACCTCAAATAAACCCCTCCCCCTGTGTCCCAGCCATTGGCACTCAATCACCATAGCTGGAGGCAAGGGAAGCAATTGTCCTTGCCCCTCCTTCCTAATACAAAATTACACCCCACCCCACCCTGCCAGCCCTGTGAGTGCTGCACTGCACAGCCCTCAGTTCTGTCCACATCTCTCCCTCCTTCTCCAGGCCCCTGGCAGAGGTCACCATAACCACTCTCCCAGGTGATCTGCACAGGTGTCCTCACTGCTCCACCAGCTTCTGTCTTGCGCCCTTACACCCCCTGCCAAGCCCATCTTGGCTCTGCATCTTGCATGATCTTTCCAAAGGCAATCGCAATCCCTAACCTCCCTACCACCACTGGTTGGAGCTTAAAGATTAAATCCTTAGTCGGCCTACCAGGCCTCCTGGTGCAGCCCCATCCCCCTCCCTCCACACCTCCAGCCATCAGGAACGCTTCTCTGGCCAGTTGTTGGGAGGTACTGTGAGCTCTCAGGCTGTGGGCTTCTGAACATCCTGGGTTTTGTTGCCTGAAATGCCCTCACCACAGCCTCTGCCTACCCAACTCCTGTTCATTCCTCAGGGCTTCACTGGCTGTCACTTCCTCTAGAAAGCTGGCCTTGACTGATTGATTGATTGATTGATTGAATTTTTACATTTTGTAGGACTTTTTATTGACACTCTGTGAACTGATAAGATGTAAATCATTTTAAGATATATGGAACTTGGTCCTGGCCGGTGTGGCTCAGTTGGTTGGTGTTGTCCCCTGTATCAAAGGGTTGCTTGTTCGATTCCTGGTCAGGGCATATGCCCAGGTTGCGGGTTCACAGGAGGCAACCAATTGATGTTTCTCTCTCTCTCTCTCTCTCTCTCTCTCTCTCTCTCTCCCCCCCCTTCCTCTCTCTCTAAAAGTCAATTTTAAAAAAAATAGGTAAGTAAATAAAATGTATGAAACTTGACTGATATGGTCAGTTAAAGAAATAATTTATATGTCATGTGGAGACTATTTCATGTGGTTGGAACTAGGGTTTTTTGGTTTAGTTTTGGCTGTAGAAGCTGTCTAAAGATTATCTAACATTTTTTAACTAAGTTGCAGTTAGTAGGTCTTCACGCCAATGATTACCCTGGGGTTTGTACTTTTCAAAAAGAGATTTTTCTAAGTAAAATTCCAATCTAGAATTCCTGCTCCTCCAGACTGGGTCAGGGGGCTCCCTTCAGTCCTTCCCCCGCCCACTTCCTGGAACATCACAGATTATAATTGCTGGATTTAATCCCCAGTGTTCCCCAGTCCGCTCCAGGCAGCCAGGGACTGTGTGACTTGCCCAGAGAAAGGGCCCTGACTCCTGAAATATGAAACTGGGAATATAAAAACAGTAACCAACCTAGTACCTGCTTCCATCAATCGAGCACATGCAATGTGTAAACCTCATCTCATGTTACCTCAGAGCCATCTGACTAGAAGGCAATATTCCACCCATTTTAGAGATGAGAAAACTGAGGTCCATAGGAATTGACCGTGGGGACACTGAGCCGGCTACGAGAGCCATGCCGGGACTGCAGACCTGGAGTAAGGCCTATATACCCGGCTGCCGTGCAAGAACCATCTGCCCTGGTATTTATTTGCTATTTTATTTAAAACCGATTCCCTTTTGCCACGGCGAGATGGTACAGGGACACAAGATGCATGAAGTCGCTTTGGTGTGCTCCTGTCCCTAATAGAAAAGCAGAAAACAACTCCGTACATTGTTGAAGACATGTGTGTCGGTGCGCTGTTTAATCTGCACGCAGTAAGCCCGTCTGCAGGGGTCCCGGGGGTATCTCGCCTCCAGGTCTGAATGGGGAGCCCATTCCCCAAGGCTTTCCGTGGTCCAGAGAGCGGAAGCCTGAGCCCGTTACAGTGATTAGTCAGAGGCCTGGCAAGGCCCCTGGGGCCAGCTCACACTTGTTCTCACGCAGGGAATGTTGGAGGAAAGGTGTACGTCCCTAGTGAAGCCCCTGCCTGTTCCTCTAGCAGTGTACCTGCTGCAGGGAGCGGGCACCCTGTGCCCCCAGCCCGCCACCCCCAGCTCCGGCCGGCTGCCCGCTGCTGCCTCCTGTGAGGGACACCAGATGCAAGAGAGGGAGAGTCCCGGCCCAGGCCAGGAGGCTGTCCTGACATGTTTATATTTGTAGGAGGATGAAGACCAGAGCCACAGGGACACGTTTGGGGCAGCGGGCGAGGAGGAAGGAGATCACAGAAGCTGTGCAGGCACCAAGGATGGGACTTGAGGTCTGAAAGGAGGCCGCTGCCCAGGTCCCAGGAGGGCCAGGCATTTGGACAGAGACTAAAGAAGGGACCCTGGTGTGCACAGGACAGAGAGCAGGACTGGAGGCAGAGAAGGAGCAGCCGGGGAGGTGGGAGGGAAGCAGCCATGGGCACAGAGGAGAGATGCCGGCAGAAAGGAGGCCTGGGAAACAGTGTGGCAGGTCCTTGAAAAACCAAAAATGCAATGACCACGTGCCCCAGCAAGTCCACTTCTGACTATCTACCCAAAAATAGTGAAAGCAGGGACTCAAACATCCTGGCACACCCGTGTTCAAAGCAGCATTATCCTCAACAGCCAAAACGTGGAGGCAACCCAAGCTCCCACCAGCGGATGATGGATGTGCACAATGTGCTCTGTTTACACCCATACCGTGTGGCCCATCCATACAACAGACTGTTACTCAGCCTTAAAAAGGAATGGAATTCTGGCACAGGCTAGAATGCAGATACACCTGGAAAACATTAGGTTCGAGGAAATAAATCAGACACAAAAGGATAAGTATCATGTGGCTTCAGTTATAGGAGGTCCCTCGGGGAGTCCGAGCCACAGAGACGGGGGAGTAAAGGTCCCCAGGGGTCGGGAGGGGCGAGTGGGGAAGGGGAGTTAGTGTTGGATGGAGACAGGGTTTCTATTCGGGAGGATGAAAGCTCTGGAGAAGGATGGTGGTGACATGGTGTGAACGCACTTAATCCCACTGAACTGTAAACTTACAAATGGTAGAAACTGGTAAATTTTCTTGTGTATATTTTGCCATAATACAAAGAATGACAAGGGAGAGGTCAGACTGTGGAGAGCTCCAAGTGGGTGCGGTCAGGAGACAAGGCCAGGCCTGCAGGACTCTCCCTTATTCCAAGGCCAGTGTGGCCACCGCCGCTGCCTCCTGCAGCCAAGATCCTCAGCTGACCAAGAGCCTGGCTTTCGGTGAGCGGGTATTTTTCCACTTCAAGTTGGAAACGTCCCCACACCAAGATCAGCAGCAATTCCTCTGTGCTCCCTCACCTGGTGAAAAGACAGGCCGTGCCCAGCGCTCCCGGGGTAGGGTTGCAAGGTTGCACAAATAAAATTACAGGACACCCAGTTGGATTTAAATGTCAACCACTGCAACATCTGGGATCTACCTATACTAAAAATGTATTTGTTGTTTAAATTCAAATTTAACCAGGTGTCCTGTATTTTATCTAGTAATCCTATCCTGGGGCCCTCCTGCAGAATTCATGCAGGGGGACACCTTCAGGCCACCCATTGGGGCAGTCCATCAAGGGCTTCCTGAGATCACATAGTGCCCGAGGCAGGAGAGGCCCACCCACCCACTTACCTACGAACACTGATCTGGAGACAGTCCTAACGAAGGCCGGGAAAGGGACAGAGGGACACCTTACCTAACCTCAAGGGGTCGGGATAATAGCCTGGAGGGTGTGCCAAAATTGGGTTTTGAAGGATGGGTAGGAGTTCACCAGGCTGACTCTAAGTGGGCTGGGAGGAAAGGGTCTCCAAGAAGAAGAAAAGGCAGGTGTCCTGGCTGGGAAAATTGACAAACAGAATGACTGGGAGGAGGGGGAGCAGGGCAAAGGAAGTGGGGGGAAGGAGTAGAGAGCAGCGGGTAAGGAAGGAACATAGAGCCGGATCCAGACAGACCTGAGTCCGAGCCTAGCTCGACTGTTTATGGACTGCGCGGCTCTGGGTCAGTCCTTTCTCCGCCCTGCCGCTTTGTCTCCTGACCCGGAACATACTGCCCCCTGGTGGCGCTGCTGTGGGATACACATCTGCGTGTCTGGTGTCTAACCCGGCCTGGCATGTGCTGCCTCCTGCGGGGGAGGGAACCTGAGGCTACCCAGGGGCCAGCAGCAGGGGGCGCTGACCCCGGAGCCTTCCGTGCTGCGCTGAGGAGCTGCCGGAGGACACGGCAGCGGAGGACTGACCGCTCAGACGTCCCGAGTCCTCTCCGGTAGGAGGGGCAGAAATGAGGAGCTGAGCCAGGAGGGTGCAGGGTCTCGTCCCGTGATTCCTTAAATGTTGAGAATTTGTTCATGAATCTCCTTGCATCACTTCTGAGTTGCTTTAACAATTACATTAAAATATTATCTTGATTCCTGAGCTTTGCCCCCGCCCCCCCTTCAGTTCTGCGCCTGAGGCAGATGCCTCGCTTGCCTCACCCTAGTCGCAGCTTGGCAGGGAGATTTAGGGTCCAGGAGAAGTGTGAGCCCAGACAGCCCTGCGAGGAGGAGCCTGCACGCGCAGCAAGGGCAGCCCTCCTCTGTGTGGCGCTTGCCAGGCGGCATGTGCAGCCTTGGTCTTCCCTGAGCCTTACCGTGAGCGGGTGAGCGGGCAGGGCAGGGCTACTGAAGACAATGGGTCCAACGGGAGCTCAGAGGGAGGTGGAAGCCCCGGCTTCCGGCCCCTTTGCGGGGGATAAAGCTTGAAGGCCAGGTGAGCCAGAGGCCTGAGGGACTGCCTCCATCCCAGCCCACCCGCCCTGAGAAGGCGCTGAGCTCACGTGGGACAGGAGGGGTACGGGCAGGTCTGGGTCTTGGCCTCTGCTGCCTGCAGCCAATGCGCTCTTCTCCCACCACCTGCAGGAGGAAGCTGGTCCTGGGCAGCTCCGGGAAAGCACAGAGGACCTCAGCCTGGACTGGGGGGCCCTGCAGGGCAGCCAGTATCTCCAGGACCTGGGCCTTGAGGCCCCTGCCCACCGCCAGCCTGGAGCGGCCAGGGACAGTGACCCCCCAAGCGAAGCAGCAGGAAGCGGCTCATCCTGCTCCAGCTCAGCTGGACCCCAGGGCCTACGTCGGAGATGCAGCTGGGCGAGGTCCCGCAGCTGCTCGGACGGCTGCCAGAGGTTGGTGCCGCCACTGAGCCGCCCATGACACCCTCCCAGGACCAGGGGTGTCCGCACCGGCAGAGGCAGCCCCTCCCAAGGCACACATGCATGCCCACACACAGATCCACGTGCCTGGAAAGCACGTGCTGAGTGTGTACAAGCCCCAAACGACACTGTGCATACACACCGCAGGCAGGTGCGATCCCAGGTGTGCACACTTGCCCGGGCACACTAGGTGCACCGCTGCCCACGTCACCCCCAGGCTCGCACATTCACTCGCTCTCACCCACACCTATAGGCCTACATGTCCGACTTGCAGGGCAGTGGCACATGCATGCTCAAAGCCACCGATGCACTTGGAATCAAGACACATATTACCCTAGCCAGTTTGGCTCAGTGGGTAGAGTCTGCAGACTGAAGAGTCCCAGGTTCGATTCCGGTCAAGGGCACATGCCCGGGTTGTGGGCTCCATTCCCAGTGTGGGGTGTGCTGGAGGCAGCCAATCAATGATTCCCTCTCATCATTGATTCTCTCTCTCTCCCTCTCCCTTTCTCTCTGAAATCAATAATAATTTTTTTTTAAGACACATAGGAGTGCTCGACTCCACACACACCACAGTGGCAGCCCTAAACAGTGGAGGCAGGTGCTTTAGCCACCCCCACCCAACCCCTCCAGCCCTCTCACCCCAAACAGAAAGCCAGTCCATGTAAAAATGGGGTGTCTGTGATGCACAGGCAGCTTCAGCAAATCCACCAACCTGGGCCCTCCCTCTCCCCCTCCTCCTCTGATATGGGGAAATTGAACCCCTCTATGACCCAGAGGGGTCATCTGCGGGTCCTCCCAAACCCCCAGATTCTGGAGCTGGTGGAGTGGCAGCAGGTGGAGACCTGCTGAGCCCTGAATCCAGCCCTTCTCCCCCCAGGTTCAGCCTGGACTCCTCCGCTGTGAGTGAGGGGCCCTGTCTCCCTCGGGCGCTGGCGACCCTTGCCCTGAACCTTCCTGGGGAGAGTCTGCAGGCCTGGACTAAAGAGTGTCTCTCCGGGGGCAGGACCCCAGCGAAGCCCCCAGGCAAGGTGGGTGCAGCCTGCGGCCACCTGGACAGTAACGCTCTGGGCCCAGGAGCCGTGCCGTGGGCGGGAAGGGGGCCTCACCCCTGGGACTGACCTGCATGGCTGGGCGGTCGGTGCTGGAGCCCACGACGGGGGAGTCTCAGCCCTGAGGTCGCAGCCCAGGCCTGAGTTCCTCCCTGCGGAGGGTCCACAGCAGGGATCCTTGGCCAGAAGTGCAGCCAAAAAAAATGGATCTGGGACTCCAGCCCACAGCCCGGGAGAGAAGCCTGGCCCCTTTGCCCTGACTCTGACCTGCAGACCTACTGGTCCTGGAACCTGCACTCACAGTTTCAGGGCCCGGCAGGGGAACTGCCGCGCGTCTCTGGGAGGGTGAGGCTCCAGCGTCTGGCTGCAGGGAGACCCCTGCCCTGTGCCTGGGGCGCCTGCGTGTAGAGGCTGGGGCCGAGCCCTTGATCGAGAGCCTTCCTGCAGCCTCTGGGCCGCCGGCTTAGCGAGCTGCTCGTCCCGCTCCTTCCCTGCAGGAAGGTGACGGCCTGGAGGAGAGAGTGAGGTCCCAGTCGGTTCCCGTGACCTTGGATGAGGTCAGCGCCCTGGAAAGCTCTCGGGCTTTGGAGGTGCCCACTCAAGCTGCCCAAGGTAGCCCGGCCTGGGGTTTCCCTCTCGGGCCAAGCAGGGCAGTGGGGCTTGTGGAGGTCCTGGGGGAGGGGTTCCAGAGAGCGGAGAGCCTCCAGCATCTGCCCCTCCCCCAGGGGTCTGGAGCCCCCACCACTGCCATGGCCTCCCCTCCCTTCTTGTTCTGACTCTGTCTCTTTTGTTGCCTCCCTGCCGGCCTCAGACAAGCTCTGGGTCCTGAGAGTGTGTCTCTGGTGTCAGGCAGACCTGCAGGCTGCACCCAGACCCACCACTTTCTGACCAGCCTCAGCCCCTGCAGCCTTCTGCACAAACTGAGACACAGTGTCCCTCCTTAGGGCCACTGGGGGTTCACACACACACACACACACACACACACGCACACACACACACACACACACGCAAAGCACTTAGCACATCCTAAGCTCTTGTGAAAAGCTGGGGATACCTCCCTCCCTGCTCTTCCCTCTCGCCGCCTCTCCTCCTGAGAGCGGTGAGGCCCCTCTGGCCGACCTCAGTTCTGCAGGGGAGGGTCCCAGGGAGCCCACTGCAGGGCGGGCTCCTCAGTCTCTCTGCAGGGAGCGGGCGGGGCTCCTCACGCCTGTGCTTCCTGATGCTGGGCTACTTCCAGGCCTGGAGCCACCAGTGCTGGAGGGTCTGGAAAAGGACCACGTGGAACCAGATCATGTGTGAGTGTCTGCCCCATGCGGGGAGGAAGCCCAGGGGCCAGCCGAGGGGTCCAGGCTGTGGGGGGCGGGGTGCAGGTTTCAGCATTGCCGGCAGTAAGTGACCGGCAGCCACGGTGCCTCTCAGTCCCCCATGATCTCACCTTCTCCCCCACCCCTCCTTCTCCCAGCGGGGGGGACCCAGGCCCCTCAGAGAGGTTCCCACAGGCCTCAGGAGGGGGCCGGGCTCCTGGCTAGGGTCTGCTTCAGGACCCAAGGCAGGTGCGGCCATCCCCGCTCCTCTCGGGGATAGGTCTGTAATCTGGGACAACTATGGGCTCTTTTATTCCCACCCCAGGCTGATGGTCCAGCAGGTACTGCAAGAACTTCGACAGTACCATGGGTAAGTGGAAGGGAGACAGGCAGGGAACAGGGGTGGGAGGACAGGTGTGGGGCAGACAGGGACTAGACGGGTATGGGGGACAAGTGTGGGGGAGGACAGCTGTAGTGGATGGTTGTGTAGAAGTGTGGGGAACACAGGTTTGGAGGAAGAGGTTGGAGGACAGATGTGGAGGGACAGGTATAAGAGCCCAGATGTGGGAGTAAACAGGTGTGGGAAACAGGCTGCAGAGAAGACGGGAGGAATGGGGACAGGACAGGGAAGGGAGGCAGTGGGAGGGGAGGCAGTAGGGAGGGGAAGAGAGCAGGGCCGTGGTGGGGAGGAGGGAGCCGCACTGGCCCATGAAGCCTCTGTGCGATGGGAACAGATGCATCTCCCGCAAACACTGCCTCCCCGGGCGTGGCCTGCCTCCTGTCAGAACATATGCCCCAATGGCCACACAGGCCGGCTCACATGTGGAGGAAGGGTGGGCTCTGGGACCATGGCGGCGGGCGCACACCAACCACAGACACCTGAGGGGGAGGGGCTGCTGACCCGCTGTCTGCCCCTCTGGTCCTGCAGGGCTCAGCAGAGGGCTCACTTGTCCGTCAGTCCCAGAGAAGCCCCCTCGAACCTCACCTGGTTTGAGTTCTTGTCCGAGTGAGTAGCAGAGCTGCTGCAGGCGGGGCTGCGGGTGGGGCTGGGGGAGCCCAGCCCTGGGTTCGCACAGCGTGTCCTGGGGTCCTCGGTGCCTGGCCTGGGCTGGGGGCAGGAGCTGGGTCCCCCTCCTCTCACTGGAACCACCAAGGGCAACAGCAGGGGTGAGGGTGGGCTCCTCATGCACCTGCGGTGGGAGGGAGGACTTCCTGGAGGAGGTGACAGCTTGAGCTGGGTTCTGGGGGAAGGGTCGGGTTCGCCAGTCCCCGGATCGGAGGATGGGAAGGGAAAATGGTGCCTTCTGGACTGGGGACCGGTGTCAGGTGGGGCTGGGAGGAGGGACAGTGGAGGAAGTCAGCAGGGCCAGGTCACCTCTGCTAAGCTAAGGCCATAGCTGCCTAGTGACTGGGACAGGCAGGGTGCAGACTGGAGGTACAGAATCCCCTCCAGGGAATAGATTCTGCCCAGCTGGGCTAGTTTGTCGTTGACCTAAAAGTGTTTATTAAATAAAGATGTGCCAGGGGGCCATGGCAGTGATGCGGGGAGGGAAGGAGAGCTGGGTTTGAAGAAATCCCGCAGGAAGAATGGGCAGGATTTATAGGCTCGTTCGATCTGGAGGTGGGGAGGGGCGGGTCAGAGGGAGGAGGCACAGATGGCAGAGCCAAGATTTCCAGCCCAGGCCCATCAAGGGACCTCAAGCTTGAGACCATGTTGCTTGACCCCCTGCAAACCCAATCCTATGGTTCCTGGAACATTGCAAACAGCAAAACACTCAAATGTTTGATGAGTGAGAGAAGAAGGGAGAGAAGGAGGGAGAGTTGGGGACCATGGAAGAGGGGAAACAGAAGGAGGAGGCCACAGGGAGATGGATGCAGGTAGATTCCAGGAGCGGCGTGCAGGCCTGGCTCAGAACGGCCTCTGACCCTGCTGCCCGCCCTCATCCATCTTCCCACCCCTCAGGAGCGAGGATGGAGCCAGCAAGATGGAGAGGAGTGACAGGGGCACCATCAGGGCGAAGTGCAGACTCAGCTCACTGCGCAGTCGAGTCACCAGGCACAAGGACAAGGTGAGGGGCAGGACACGGGCCCCCTCTGCCTTCCTCGGCCTGTCAGAGTGCCCCGGCCCTGGAGCCCTGTGGTTCCGGGTAGGCCTGGATACACAGGCATCCTAAGGCTCTCCTCTGTCCCCCACAGGGGAAAAGCCCTGTCCAGCTGAAGGACAAGGATCAGGATGCTCGAGAGAGAAAGGAATGTGTCGCTGGCCACCAACTGCCGCGAGGAGCCGTCTCCAGCCACTCCCACTGCCCCCTGTGCAGCCAGCCCCTTCTCAGCTCTGGTAAGTGGGTGGCCCAGCCTACCCCTTGGATGGTGGCCACTTTCTCTACTTTTCTAATCGCGCTGTGGCCGCCTTCGCTCTTTGCACTCTTGTCCGATTTCGCCCAAGCCAAGGGCGGGCTGGCCCTGGCTCCCTGGAGAGCACCAGGACCGGTCCCCAAGGGCAGGGGCCGTTTGGTTAGCGAGGGGCCCAAAAAATTCCCTTTTAAGTTTCACTTTTATTATTGCAAAATCCTCTTGCAAAATGTGGACTCGGGCAGGGTGTTTGTTAGCAAGGGCTGCACCGCAAAGTCCCACACCCCGTGTGGCATATGTCTCTCACAGCTCCTCCTGAGGGCACTGGGCACGGGCCAGTCCAGGTCTCTCCTCGCGTCTGGCAGTTACTTGGCCCGTGGCTGCAGAACTGCAGGCCTCACGTGGTGTCTCCCCTGCGTGCGTGTCTGTTTCCCAATGTGCCCTTTCTGATAAGGACACTAGTCAGCTGTATTGCACTATTGTGACCTCATCTGAACTAACTACGTCAGCAATGACCCCATTTCCAAATAAGGCCACCTTCTGAGATACTGGGGGGATCAGGACTGGAACCTATGAATGGCGGGGTGTTACCAGAAAGGGGACCGGCTCTGAGTGGGTCTGCCTAGGGCCAGCTGGGACTGTGCGGGTTCTCGACTTCATGCAGGAAATATTTCACAACAGGAGTCCAGGTGACGATGAGGGAGCATTATTAACACTGGGGGCAGTGAGACAAAGGGCTTAGCGTAGAAGGAGCAACAGAGAGCCTAGGCTGGGCTGCCCTAGCTCTCTGGGAAGTCAGAGAAAAGGGGGCCTTGGGGACAGGTTCGGAGATTAGCCCGGGACGAGCTGCTGCTGCCCATTGCTCCCCAGGTTGCAAGTCTCATGGGGCCCCTTAGAGTTTTGGAGATGCACACCTGTGGGGGAAGAAGTGGGGAGGAGGGAAGAGGGGGTGGCGGGGGCTGCTCCCCGAGGAGGAGCATGTGTTGGCTCATTTGTCTTGAGGCTTCGAGATGGAGACTCTTCCCAAAACGGTAAGACAGCTGCCCAGGTGCAGGGCCTCGGACCCGGGCAGATTCTGAGGCTCTGACCTTCTGGGAGGCTTTCACCCCGTGTCTGTGGTGGGCAGACAGCCTGTGGTGGGTTAACTGGCTTCTCACAGTGGGGCCAGTACCCGTCCCTGTCATATTTTACTAACAGCCCCGGTGTCTTAAGAGGCCTGGTAGCGTGAGGCCGCATCCCTTAAGAAAGAAATGAGCCCAGCCCGCGTTTCTGGGTTCAAATTCTATTTCCAGCAAGTTTCCAAGATCAGGTTACAAACCCTTTTATTCTCTGAACACCTGTGCCTTTGAGGCTGTTCTCTATCGGCTATACCTGTGGGAGAAGCAGTAGTGACAGGCAGTAACATTTGTGTGAATTACCCCAAGCTAGCTGCGGGTTAGGGCAGGACTTCCCACCCAGCAAGGCAGCCCGGGCAGAACTGCTGCTCGGGGCTCCGCCCGCAGCAACAGAGCAGAGGGCGGGCTACACTGCGGGGCAGCTTTTCTGGGTGACTTTTCTCTGTCCGGGAATTCTCTGTTGCCTCCTCCCCCCACCCCTGGTGTCCAGCCAGGAGGTCCGAGGGGTGCCTTGGCTGGGGAACTCACAGGGGGCTGCGGGCCACCCTAAGTCCCAGGCTAGGGGCACAGGCTAGGGGCACGGGGTCTGACTGCCCCTCCTGGGCCTAAGCAGGCTGGGGTGGGGGTGGGGGCGCTTGGGGTTTCACACCCCAGGGGTAAATTTCAAAGAATAGCAAGTGTGCCCCGCGGGCTCTTCACATTTGGGCAGTGAGCCTTTTCCTAAGTCCCCGGCCTGGAGCCGGGGTTTCAGGCCCCTCCCAGTGCTTAAAGATGCTGGGGAGCCACTCTTCAGTTCCCTCCCCCCGGGCCCCGGGGGTCAGGAGCCAGCGATCACTGGGAGCCCACTGTCAGATTCTGGGAGCCCACTGTCAGATTCGGTGCACCTGGCTGCCAGCAGTGCAAGGCTGACAGGAAATGGACCAGGACAGGAGAGAGAGGGTCAAGAGTGACAACCCACTCCCTACCGCCCCCCCACCCCCCGGCCTACCCCCAGAGCAGGCAAGATGCAGGCCAGAACTGCTGCAGGAACACAGGATGCCATCAGCTTCTATTTCTTCTGCTATTTTATCTTCCAAGGGCTGGTTTGGAGGCTGCAAATGGGCTTCTTGAGTACCAGGGAGATGACAGTGGCAGGGAGGGGTGTTCTCCACGTGTCCCACACGTCCGTCTCCCAGTCACACCCCATTGTGGGGGGCACT